CTCTCTCATTCTCTCTCTCTCTCATTCTCTCCCTTATTCTCTCTCTCATTCTCTCTCTCTCATTCTCTCCCTCATTCTCTCTCTCATTCTCTCTCTCTCTCACATTCTCTCTCTCTCTCACATTCTCTCTCTCTCTCTCACATTCTCTCTCACATTCTCTCTCACATTCTCTCTCTCATTCTCTCTCTCTCATTCTCTCTCTCATTCTCTCTCTCATTCTCTCTCTCATACTCTCTCTCAGTCTCATTCTCATTCTCATTCTTCTCATTCTCTGTCTCTGTGTCTGTGTCTGTCTCTGTCTCTGTCTCTGTCTCTGTCTCTCTCTCTCTCTCCATATCTCCAGTCTCTCCAGATGCACCGTGCCTGCCAGCTTTTTCTCCAGAAAGTCTGAACTATATGTGAGATCTCATGTCTCCATCCAATCGCAAACCTAATTGTAGATACTTCCAGATGTCCAATGGCCAGGCAGCGGAATCTCCAGAAGAGCATTTCACAGGTTATTGAAGCAGAGCAAAAGTCATTGAAGTGGTACCCAATGGCCGACTTCGTCAAATTGGTTGGCTTGGAGGCCGAGAAAGCTGGAACATTGCTGGGGGGATGTTGCAGGTCACGTCAAGAATTCCAGCTTTTTCCATGTGTGCATGGAGCTACTCAAATGGCAATATCTCACTGGGGACCAATCGGCCCACAAAATGGAGTTGTTTTTCCCCTCATCTTTTGTGTGTGGGGTTCTTGTTTTTGGTTCTGAATCCCTTCCGCTCCTCCTCCGCCCTCCTCCGCCTGCGCTGTCACACACAATCTTTCACATACAACTTTGTCACACACAATCTCTCACATACAACTTTGTCACACACAATCTGTCACATACAACTTTGTCACACACGACACACACACACACAACTTTGTCACACACAATCTCTCGCATACAACGTCGTCACACACACACACACAATCTTTCACATATATACAGCTTTGTCACACGCAATCTTTCAAAATCAACTTTGTCACACACACAATCTTTCACATACAACGTTGTCACACACACAATTTTTGACATGCAATCTTTCACATACAGAATGTCACACACACTCTTTCACATACAACTTTGTCACGCACAACTTTGTCACACACACACACACAATTTTTCACACACACACAACTTTGTCACACATAATCTTTCGCATACAACGTCGTCACACACACACACAATCTTTCACACACAATCTTTCACACACAATCTTTCACATACAACTTTGTCACACAAAATCTCTCACATACAACTTTGTCACACAAAATCTTTCGCATACAACATCGTCACACACACACAATCTTTCCCACACAATCTTTCACATTTTTGCAGCTTTGTCACACGCAATCTTTCAAACACAACTTTGTCACACACAACCTTTCACACACAATCTTTCACATACAACTTTGTCACACACACACATTCTTTCAAATACAACTTTGTCGCACACAAGTTTGTCACACACACACAATCCTTCACACACACACACAATCCTTCACACACAGCTTTGTCACACATAAAAATTCACACAACTTTGTCACACATAAATTTTCACACACAACTTTGTCACACACACACAGACAAGCTTGTCACACACACACATGCACACACAACTTTTGCACACATACAATCTTTCACGTACAGCTTTGTCACACACAATCTTTCAAATACAACTTTGTCACACACACACACAACCTTTCACGCACAACTTTGGCGTGGCAGGGGTGGCACTTATGGCACTGGGCTGGGTCTGGTGGCGCGCTTGGTCGCCGTTAGTCGCCCAGTGCCGCGGCGTGGCACTTGGCACTGGGCTAGGTCTGGTGGCGCGCTTGGTCGCCGCTAACGCGTGGCACTTAGCGACGGCCACCTTCGTTTTGCGTGGCAGGCGTGGCAGTTATGGCACTGGGCTGGGTCTGGTGGCGTGCTTGGTCGCCGTTAGTCGCCCGTGATGCCGCGGCACTTTGCGTGGCAGGCGTGGCGCTTGACGACATCGACCTTCGTTTGGCGTGGCTCGTCTGGTGTCGCGCTTGGTCGCCGTTAGTCATGGGGCCGACGCTTGATTCGTAACTAAGTAAGGCTAATGCGCCTTGCTAGAGGCATTGGCCGGTCAGTTCGCATCCTTGTGATTGCCGGACGCCCTGCCCTGCTCTCAACCGCGTCGCCTGGAAGGCCGGCTTTCTCACACACAACTTTTGCGCACGCAACTCTTTTAATGTGGGATACAGATTAGTGTAGGGATACAGAATTGTGTCCACAGACTCCAAAATTATTTTGTATCTTTGGAAATGATCGAGGGGTACAGTTTTGTGTCCACAGGATTTTGGTGTAAGTTTTTTTTCATTTTTTGTTTTTAGTTTTTAATAATTTTTTATTTTTATTTTTAATTATAATAATTTTTAATTTAATTATTTTTTCTTTTATTTTAAAATTATTTTTTATTTTAATTTTTAGTTGTAATATTTTTTAATTTAATTTTTTATTTTATTTTGAATTATTTATTTTTATTTGTAATTATAATAATTTTTAGTTTATTTATTTTTTTATTTTTATTTTTAATTATAATTATTTTTATATTATTTTTTGGATTATTTTTTTAAATTGTGTCAGGATACACAATTGTGTCAGTGTGTCAGGATACACAATTGTGTCTTGGTCTTGTTTCTGTTTGTTCAAACATTTTTCATTTTTTTCATTTTTTAAAGTTTTTTCTTTTACTTTTTATTTTCCATCATTGAAATTTTCCAGATGCCTTCCACAGAAAATTACATCCAGGTACACAATGGTGTGGTTTGTATGGAGGGTACACTATTGTGTCCTGCTGCTTTCCTGAGGTCATGATTTTTTGATTTTTTCAATCATTTCCTTTACCTTTTCCCTTTGCTAAAGTTTTTTCTTTTGATTACTTAATTACTTTCTTAGTTTCTTTCATTTGAAATTCTCAGAAATGCCCAGTTTCCCAAAATATATGATGCCTTATTAAAACCCAATTAAAAAACATCACTCAAACAATTTTTCAAGGGGGTAGTCCATGAGCAACCCTGATACACAATAGTGTGGTTTGTTTGGAGGGTACACTATTGTGTCCAGCTGCTTTCCTGAGGTCATGATTTTTTGATTTTTTCAATCATTCCCTTTACCTTTTCCTTTGCTAAAGTTTTTTCTTTTAATTACTTAGTTACTTTCTTAGTTTCTTTCATTTGAAATTCTCAGAAATGCCCAATTTCCCAAAATATATGATGCCTTATTAAAACCCAATTAAAAATCATCACTCAAACAATTTTTCAAGGGGGTAGTCCATGAGCAACCCTGATACACAATAGTGTGGTTTGTTTGGAGGGTACACTATTGTGTCCAGCTGCTTTCCTGAGGTCATGATTTTTTGATTTTTTCAATCATGTCCTTTACCTTTTCCTTTGCTAAAGTTTTTTTCTTTTAATTACTTAGTTACTTTCTTAGTTTCTTTCATTTGAAATTCTCAGAAATGCCCAGTTTCCCAAAATATATGATGCCTTATTAAAACCCAATTAAAAAGCATCACCCAAACAATTTTTCAAGGGGGTAGTCCATGAGCAACCCTGATACACAATAGTGTGGTTTGTTTGGAGGGTACACTATTGTGTCCTGCTGCTTCCTGAAGTGATTTTGTTTTTTTTGCAATCATTTCCTTTACCTTTTCCTTTGCTAAAGTTTTTTCCTTTTAATTAATTAATTACTTTCCTAGTTTCTTTCATTTGATATTCTCAGACATGCCCAGTTTCCCAAAATATATGATGCCTTATTAAAACCCAATTAAAAAACATCACCCAAACAATTTTTCAAGGGGGTAGTCCATGAGCAACCCTGATACACAATAGTGTGGTTTGTTTGGAGGGTACACTATTGTGTCCAGATGCTTCCTGGTGTGATTTTTTTTTCAAGCATTCCCTTTACCTTTTCCTTTGCTAAAGCTTTTTTCTTTTATGGTATTTCTATGGTATTACTGTTGGATTCCTATGGAATTCCTTTGGGGTTTCCATGATGTTTCTATGATATTTCTGGAGGATTTCTATGGGATTTCTGAAGGGGTGCTATGGGAGTTCTATGGTATTCTTATGGGATTTCCATTGGATTCCTATGGGATTTCTATGGTATTTCTATTGGGTTCCTATGGAATTTCTATTGGATTCCTGTAGGATTTCCAAGGCATTTCCATGATGTTTCTATGATATTTCTATGGGATTATTATTGGAATTCTCATGGGATTTCTTTTGTGGTTCCTATGCTATTCCATGTTATTTCTATGATCTTTCTATGGGATTTCTGTGAGATTCCTATGGGATTTCCATGGTATTTCTATGATATTTCTTTGGGACTACTATTGGATTTCTATGGGATGTCGATTGAAAGTAAATTGGCAGTAACTTCAAATCAATTGAAAGTAAATTGAAATCAATTCAAAATAAATTGAAATCAATTGAAAGTAAATTGAAATCAATTCAAAGTAGCTTCAAATCAATTCAAAATAAATTGAAATCAATTGAAAGTAAATTGAAATCAATTGAAAGTAAATTGAACTCAATTCAAAGTAAATTGAAATCAATTGAAAGTAAATTGAAATCAATTGAAAGTAAATTGAAATCAATTGAAAGTAAATTGAAATCAATTGAAAGTAAATTGAAATCAATTCAAAGTAAATCGAAATCAATTGAAAGTAAATTGAAATCAATTGAAAGTAAATTGAAATCAATTCAAAATAACTTCAAATCAATTCAAAGTAACTTCAAATCAGTTGAAAGTAAATTGAAATCAATTCAAAATAAACTGAAATCAATTGAAAGTAACTTCAAATCAATTGGAAGTAAATTGAAATCAATTGAAAGTAAATTGAAATCAATTGAAAGTAAATTGAAATCAATTCAAAGTAACTTCAAATTAATTCAAAATAAATTGAAATCAATTGAAAGTAAATTGAAATCAATTCAAAGTAACTTCAAATCAATTCAAAATAAATTGAAATCAATTGAAAGTAAATTGAAATCAATTCAAAGTAACTTCAAATCAATTCAAAATAAATTGAAATCAATTGAAAGTAAATTGAAATCAATTCAAAGTAACTTCAAATCAATTCAAAATAAATTGGAATCAATTGAAAATAAATTGAAATCAATTCAAAGTAACTTCAAATCAATTCAAAATAAATTGAAATCAATTGAAAGTAAATTGAAATCAATTTAAACCTATCAATTTTTTTTGATTTCACCGTATTGCGTACCCGGTACCTTGTTTTTTCCACACTGTTCTGTATCCAAAATTTGTTAAGGGGGGGGGGCCTCCCCACACTAATCTGTATCCTACATTACACACTACGCTTTTACACGCAACTTTCTCACACACAACTCGTTCACACTCATACACAACTATTTCACAACTTCCTCACACACAACTCCTTTGCACACAACTCTTTCACCCTCACGCATCACAATTTTCTCACACACACAACTCTTCCACATACAACTTTTGTACTTATCGATCCTCCACCACCTCCTTTGTCTTTCCTCCCTCTTCAACTTCTGTTTCTAATTATTGGAAAAATTGTTTGTGGGGTTTTGCGGTCCTTTAATTTGGTTTCAAATTTCGATCCACTTTCGGGATGTACAAAAATTGAGCCTTCACCCACCATTGATCCACAGCGCAGGCCAAAGTCACGCGTCAGATCATTGGAACTCTTATGGCACGATGTGCAGGTTACGTCCGGGAGGTGAGGTTTAAAGATGGGCGGCTTGGGAAACAAACCCATGGCACAGTGTGGTGGTGTCTGGCATGTTTTTTCTTATCGCCTTCTCTCTTATCAGGAATCGAGTCCACCAAAATACGTGGGCTGTCCCATGTCCAAGTGCTAGGACCTGGGGATGAATCTGATGGTTGAGGCTAGAGGTGTTGCACTCAGAAACTGCCTTCATTTTGTACTGATCTGACTGCAAGGGCTGCAGGGGCTGCAGGGGCTGCAAGGGCCAGTTGCGGCTGAGGTGACAAAGGCGCTTTGTGCCTTCCGTGCTACTCGATCAAGCACGCACAGGGGTCTTCCTCGGCCACGCTTGAACACACTGAACAACGACAAATCCTCATTTGTTACAATTTGGTTCTATTCTTCAAAATCGGCAAGAAGATCCATGATTTAGCCAGATCGGCAATGAGCAAGGAGCAGAATGGGAGAGCATTGGGTCTATTCTTTCGCACACATTTCCTCATTCAACCTTTGGCCTTATCGACCTCCAGCAACCACAGCTGAGCTGATGATACCAAGTATGTTCATCGTCATGGCAGGTGGTTTTTCTCGGACTTAGCCGCGCAGAACTCAGATGGCGTAGCTGGATGGCTTCATATTCGCCATGGCCATGGCCATAAACAAGTTTGAAACAGTTTCTTGGAACCAGGTGTCAGCCCTGAAAGACTACCAGGAAAAATTTCCAGGAGTCTTTGAGGCTGCATAGAATGGATGATTGCAGAGCTGGGGTACTACACGCGAGAGTTCGGCTGTGAAACATGCTGTGAGAGAATGTATTATTATTGGTATCCGTAGGTGTGGTACGGAGGGTACCCGTTGCATTGTCAACAGCACCTTTTGACAGGCATTGCGGGCACGTCAAGATGAGAAGAAGGTTTCTGCTCGCAGATGGGTTTGCCTGAAAATGGGGTACCCTGCAGCTTGATGATCATCATTTTCCCGATAAAAATGGCAATGTTTTGTGGGTGTGATCCATTCAGATTTTCAGAGGCATTCAAATGGCAGCTGGTAGCAACATCAACCAACTAGCGGCTACCAGCAATTCAAACTGCAGGACTTGGAACAAAGGAACATTTTTCCGACCAGCTGGGAGCCCCATGAATTGCACGAGTGCGACATTTGTTGAAGAACTGGGATGTTCAAGCTCTACTAAATTTGCGTGGAAACCCAGCCCATTGCTTCGTTCAGACATGAAGCAGTCACTTTTGAACTGCTTCAGGCCCGAACAAAGACTACGCGTCAAGGCGAGGATCATCAACATGTTTTCGATATGTTTAAACAGTGGCATGAGTCTGTGGTCTGGAAATAGAGGCTGGTGCTTCTGCCCACATGGCAGGCAGCTGTTGAAGTACTGCAACGGGTGTGAGTGGAAGAAGTGTCATGGCACTATAGAGTACTATAGTGGCTGACGTTCCGATTGTTAAACCTGCGACTCCTGCGACTCTTGGTCTCAGTGAAAAAAATCCTACCGATTAGCCTTGAGTTTTAGCCAAGGCTGCGCTTGGCCCCGGCCGAATACATGGCAATGACCGTGGACAGCGTGAGCAAGGTCAGACTGGGACTGGGAAGAGGAAAGTTTTTTCATCGTCCAGGTTGATGCAGGTTGAGGGTCTGCTCTGCCAGCGGCTGCCAGGTGGCTGAGATGGTCGAAAAGATCTCGGGTCTGCAGCAGGCCATCACGGTCACTGGTAGCTCCTCATTCTTCCAGGCTGAGGAGCACTGGGTTTTAGTCAATATGGGAAGGGTCAAAGGGTCCAACACATTCGAACATTATTATGTACGAATGTGTACGTAATATATATATATATATATGTATATATGTATGATGTAGTGTATGCACGTACACCGATATACCATATCGGGGGAACAAACGTCCACTTGCCAGCGATTTGGAGATGCACAACGATGCCAAGGCTTTGATCCATAGCCGTTGTGGGCAGGATCCATCGATGAAGCCACCGCCAGACCCGCGCAAGGAGGTCATTGAATGCCAGAATTGGATGATGGAACAATTTAGGGGAAAAGATGGTAAAAACAAGGGTCTCCTGTAAATTGTCCCTCCGATCCATTCATTGAAGAAGACTTTGGTCAGGACTTGGCTATTGGCCAGAGAGGATTCTATATCAAAGTGATGCAGCCTCAGGGTGTTTCTGCGGTTGACTTTGGAGTTCTTGCTTCAGACCTTTCCTGAAGCCATGCCTCTTCCCTCACATGGTACTTCATTCAGCACATGGTGCTCGGCCAAGGGAAGGAGCAGTACCCTGTGGCAAGCAGGGCACTATCATCGGGGTGCGCCATTTATCCGGTGACATCATGGCAATCATGGCAATCATGGCAATCATGGCAATCATGGCAATCAATGCAATCTTACTGAGGATTCATCATATCATCATATTTTATCATCATTTCCGGATCCAAAGGAGAAAATAACATCCGCCAAGTGATCTTTTTCGTCATTGAACTTGGGCCAAACCGAAACAGAACTGACAGCTTTCAGCCAAGTGGTCTGAGGTAGCTGAGTCCTGGAACAGAAAAAACATGTAAACATCAGGTGTTTCAGTCTGGTGGTTTCAAGGAATTTTTCATTTTGAATCATATTTATCCATATTCAGCTTTCTCAACCACCAGTTATTTCACCTTTCAACCCAGCCGTAAATAGCCTCTGGTAGTTCAACAGGGCATTCAACATCCTATATAGAAGGGTTTATAGCTGGGAACATCGAACAAAATGGGGTGATGTTCCACCATGGCAATGCTTACCATAGGGTACGGTATTTAGTCTTTACAGCCCCTGTCAACCAATGTTTGTTGGTTTTTGAACCCCATTCACCAAGATATATCCACCATAAACTCTACCTGTCAATGGGAAAACATGGGAAAACTGCCAGGTCTATGGAAGCGATTCCCAGCAGCAGCTGGAGGTGTTGCTGGACGAGGAATGCTTTGGCGCTACCGATCTGCAGGGCCGGTGCCCACCGCTTCGGGGGTGTGGAACTCAGGGCGGAGATGGCAAGCCAAGGTGGGTGAAGATGAAGAGATATTATATAAATCATATAGCATTCAATATATGATTTATATAGCATTCAATCGCCCTTCTGTTCATTTTTGGGATGTCAAACAAGACCTAGTCTTTGGATCTCTTTGGGAGATTTTGGGTGGATGAACATCACGACTTGTTTGTGCAGAACCTTTGTTATGGTGTTGGTTGTGGTCAGTGGTGATGTCTGTTCTGTTGGAGTGCCCAGCAAGCCAGTATGAGTTGTTGCACCCTCGTCAAACTTTGGTTCATTTTTCCACGCATCGGAAGAGACTGCTGATCATTTTACAAACCCAATCCCAAACGATGCAGACCTGACGACCATCATTCTTAAACCTTGAGTGCTTGGGGTGTACTATTGTGTTACCCAGCATCCAGTTGTGCAGTTTCCCATCAGGATACAGGTGCCACCTTCTCAGTCGTTGCCGGCTTGTGTTGGACCAATCTCAAGCTGTGCAGAATTCGTCCAGTGAAATTCGCCAGGTTTCGGGCATTCGCTTGCAAAGTGGCAGTCTCAGCCAAGAACGAGGCGGTGGAAAGGACTCAGCGCCAGAGCAGCCCCTTTGAATCGAATGCACTGAGTTAGCCAGTGAAAGGTAAAGCTTGTTTCCAGATTCGAGCGAAGAGCTGTTGTTTATCCATGTTTATCCTTCAAATTGTCCAACCTGGAACCTGATCAAATGCCAAGTTTAAGTCAGAGGTGATCGTTTCAAGATAAAAGTGGCCATTTTAACTGCAGTTTTGATATAATGTTCGAAATCGTTTCGAACGTTACGCACATCATCATGTTGAACCGTTGTTCGAAGACTTGGGGTTTTCCAAACATCCACTTTCATACCAGCAACATGCACTTTAATACCAGCACAGCAACATCCACTTTTTCCCAAGCAAACAACCAATTCTAATTACGAAAGCCAGCCGCTAGGCTAGGCGAAGTTTTTTTTGCGAACAAAGTGAGTTAAGGGGGTCTGGGGGCAGAGCGTGCCAAAGGTAGCCAAAATCACGGTATTAGGTGCAGTGGAGCCATATTTTTTGAGCATTTTGAGGGGCATGTACCAGGTGGCAATTAGGTGACGGTGGCAATTAGGTGACGGTGAGGTATCGATTCCCCCGTGGTCCGTGCCTGGAGGTGCATTTTGGGAGGCGATATAGAGACCAGAATAGAATGATAGGTTTCAATTAGAGGCCAGGGTTGAGGCAGAAGTGGGTTGGGGGAGAGGTACAAGGGAAGCGCAAGGGAAAGGAGGGTGAGTAGGATGAGGGCAATGGCACTGCTTGGAAAGGCTAGAACTCAACGGCTACTTTTCTCCATGTCCTTCCTCACCAGATGGCTGAGCGCAGTACATAGCCCAAGATCCAGAACCAGGACATTACTTCACACCATTTCATGTTGACTCTTCTACCCCTAACTGCCGGGCTCCGATGTGGGACCGTTATGGGCGCAACGATTGCGTAAGGGTGTGTGAACATGGTTGTCTGAAACAGATTTCTCTTGGTGCGTTCCCTGGAGGGATTTTCGCCCGTAAGGGTCCTTGAATGGAGGCACGGTAGGTATGGAGAAGGAACTTCTGTCAGTATAGAATGTTTAGGAAACTTTGGAAAGGGGCGACGAAATATGCAGTGAGGAGGCTCTGCTGCAGCTGGCGCGTGCCATGGGTCAACTCACACGGCACTCACCCGGTGATAGAGATGACAGCCCGTTGTATTTTCTGTCAACACATCTGGGCCTACTGGTATTTGGGTTTGAAACCAGAAGAAAAACAAGTATAACATAGCAGAAGATGAGACTGCTTTGTTGGCTCCGTTAATGTTTCTTGCAATTCCTTTACATAGCAATGGTTCTCCCCTGGCTTTCGTTCCTCCCTTCTCAGGTTTGACATTTTGGACTGGTTTGGTTCGCGAAAAAAGTTCGAACAGTGTTTGAACAGGGTTCGAAGAGAAAACAATCCTTTCATCAAAAGATGGTCGTTCAACACAACACCTGTTTTAAAGTTATCGTTGAAGGATGCAGGAATGTCTGAAGTATGCTGAAGCCAGACTTTAAAACCATTTGTTTTGAATGGCGTTCAGTGCTCTCTCTCTCTCTCTCCCTCCCTCTCTCTCTCTTTCTGACTAGTCTTCGGGTCTCTGCGAGGATAGCGGAGAAGATGGAGAAGGGGAGAGAGAACGGAGGCAGCCGATTTTTCGCCTTGGGTTCAATCTATATTATCCATCTAAGCAGAATCTAGCATGTTTGAAGGTCAAAGATCATGGCTGGTTTCTATCAGAAAACCTCTAAATGCCCTGTGACTTATCCTTTTCCCCATTACAATGGCTATTTGGGGGTATCCCCCACTTCAGACCCACATGCCTTGATTGATTCGTGGAAGGTTCACCTCGCCAAACACAAACTGCTTTGAGCCGCCAGGCCACGAACTGTGCTCTGAATTAATCATGTGGTTCATATTCATTTCCTGCATTAAACTTCTGCTTTCGGGTGAGGTCCTCCATTTTGGGAGGGTCTTTGTCAGATTTTGTCAGGCCCCGAAGTCAGATGAAGACGCAAAGGCCGGAGTCGCAGTGCACTATTTCGATCTGTTTGGATTCTGAATTCTGGGTGGCTATGCGCTACAATTATACGTATAAAATATATTATCATGAATGATTTTGGGAATGGGTCAACACCTATAGTACCTCATTTAGGGGGATGAACATCCATTTAGAAACTATTGTGGGGGTTCACTAGGGTATCACGCTTTTTGATCCACCAATTTTTGACATTTTTTTCGTACTCAGCTGAGAGGCTTCACAGGCATTGAGGAGGCTGCTTCAGGTGTGGAAGGATTATCATGTCGGTCAACAAATGGGAGATGCACAAATATATAGCAATTATAATCGAGAAAATAAGCAACAATCAAGTTTTTGGGCACTCCATTTTCAGACAAACCCAGCTGGGGGACCTTGCTGGCTTTTATAATTAAACCATGTTTGAACCATCCATTTCCACTTGAAGGCACATTTGAACGGGGAAAAACATGGTGATAAACTTTTGGATTTTGGAGTACAAAACCCTTGGCCCCGAAGTTGGCTATGGGGCCCCAACCATGAATGTAATTTCCGTTCATATCCCCTATTGAATAGAGCGTCAACCCGTGTTTTATTGAGAGAGTCGTTGATTTTTTTGGGCACAACTGGCACAACTGTCAGATTGAGCTGATGCGACGGACCCGTGGCTTCAAGTTGCCTGTGATTGTTGAGATCATGGCCACCATTCGGGGACTTGTATAGCTGGAATATGCTGGAGCCATATTTGTTTTCTTGAACTTCTCGAATTTCTCGAACTTCCTGGTTTTAGGAGGTGAAGGCCAAGACGTATTGTTTGGGCGACCTATTCCGTGCTTTGGCACATTCAACATTTGTGAACCTGCGCACAAAGATTCAGGATGGTTCATCGAAAGCATCAGTGGTCGCACAAGGCGGTTGGCTCCCGCTTGGAAATGAAGAAGCCTGAGTTTATCTTTAATGTAATTGAGCAAGCATTCCTAGATTTCAATTGTTTGTCCCCCAAAATGGGTACCCTAAATCCAAGAGTTTATTATCATCATCATGCCCGTTGGAATGGCAATTGTGGAGTATGCACAGTTTCTGGACAAACACAATTGCCTTCCTGCGCTTGTCTCCCGCTTGCGCTTGTCAGGGGCCGCTTCCAAGGCAAGCAAGGAGCCAGTGAGTTGGTCCCCGGTACCCACCAATGCAGAGCATCCAACATCAAGTTTATTCAGGTCGGTGTTTGGAAAGCACACCATGCAAAGCTGCTTCGATGTCGAGGTTCAACAAAGGTGCTCCCTTGAAGTAGAACCCCTTGCAGTGTTTATGTACCGGTTGTAATGCAGTCCTTCCCAAACCGTGCAAGGAGACCCAAGCAAGGGACAGCCGTGGGGGCCTATGTTTCCAATGGCATGAGCTACCGCCAGTGGGAAGCAAAGCCTGGGTTTGGCCAATGAGTAGGCGAAGCCACTCACAGAATTGGATGATTTTCATTTGCAGGAACCCCCGATAGTTGATGGTAAACACATATAAAAACCATCCTGTCCTGTAGATTTTCTCGTAACCAAACCGTTGACATACAAATCATTGTTGCTTGTCGATCTCCATCGAAAGCCCCTTTTGAGGTGCTCCCGACTCCAACATATCGTACAACAAGGCCGCAAGACGTTTTTTTGTCATGGAAGAGAAATCAAGCGATTGCTGAAAGGTTGCGCGTCATTCATGAGGTATGCATTATTCCCAGAGATGCATTTTGTTTTCGAGGTGACATGTCATAAAATGCATGCAACTTCTCAAGCAGGCCGAGAGCAAAAACAAGCAGACAAAGGTGATTGGCCATGACCCAAGATGTCGGAACAGCGAAGTCTCAGCTGTATCTGAATCTTGCTTCTGTCTTCCACCCGGCTTGCAACCTGAGAAAGGATATAAAGGGAAGCTATCTCTGAACATATGGAAGATTGTTTCCAGAAACAGTCAGAATCTATGAATTGCGGAAGTTGACCCACAAACACCAAAGCTGTTCAAACTTTGGTGCAAGTGCTTCAAGTCTTCCTGCAATCGCCAGTTGACAGTTGCACATGTTGGTTTACACCCGGAATGCTCAAGAACTTGCTCGTTGCTTTCCGTGTCAATGAAAATCAATTATCTACATATATAATATATATATATATACATGATTATATATGTAGATAATTCTCGACAGATCTAAAACGCAATTATCTTTAGTCTGTTTCCTTCTTAGTTCTTTCTGCGTATAGAGTGGTCATGGTCCTGGTCGATGTAGCACCCTGTGTCGCTCAACAAATTGCAGATCACACACGCACCCTTTCAAGGGGAGCCTCTGAAATACAAGCCTTCCCCTTTTATGCTTAAACCAAGAATAGGAACATCAGGCCCCCCTTTATCTTCCCATCATTTTTAATCGTTGTTCATCCTTTTTCACCTTTTTCCAGGTTCGTTTCGATCGAGGTGATGTTTCGGCGGCCTTTGCCGCGCTGACGTCGTCCCAAAGTGTGCGACCACCCGTCCAGGTGCGCGAGAGCTGTGGGGGGTCACCTCTACGTCACTGGGGGATTAGCAAAATGCAACTTTGGAGGTTTCCTATAAGTCATGGGGGTTACCGGGGGTACCCCAAATCCGGACTTAGTCATGGACCCGGACTTAGTGTAGGTTAACGTATGTGCCCCCAAGGGAGTTTGATGTGCACTCTAGGTGGAAGCCCGCGAGAGAAGCAGAAGAGAAAAGAAGGAGAAGAAGGAGAAGCACCAGAAGAATAAGAAGAATAAGAAAGGAAGACGAAGACAAAGCCGTAAAACGGAAGCGGCTTGTGTAGCAAGTGCTGGCTGTAACAACCTATTGATCGTATACCAAATTAGCCGCTGTTCATTGGATGCCAGGTTCTGGAATGGAACAACATCATTTCATTGTGTGGAGGACCGAACTGTTGATTTGCCAGGCGTGTGCATCGGAAGAAGATGTGAAAGCAGCTTGAGGTTGCCTTTTTAGCAATTTGGACACAAGCATGTCTGCAACAAGTTCTGGACATGCCCAGTTTGGCTCCAACGTGTTTTTCTTTTGTTGTTGCTGCCCCGGGACGCATGGCGGGCACTACTTTGACAACCTACATTGGGCTCACAGCTGCGGCCGCAGATCGGTTGTTCCAGCAGAATCTTCCTGTCCAGCCGAGCTACAAGCAGCGCTGGGGTTTGAAGCCAACAGTGGCAGAGGCTGTTTAGGAATAGACCAGAAACAGAATCTTTTTTTGATCCTGAAAGCGTCTGAGCGAAGTGTTATTCTTATTCTAATAGTGGGAGTCTGTCAGCCATCTTTACATCTTCACATTTGCTTATCTTCTCATCTTCTATCATCTTCTATTATCTTCACAGCTTCTCAGCTTTGCATCTTGACATCCTGACATCTTCACACCCTCACATCTTACATCTTCACATCTGCTCCTCTTCAAATCTGATCATCTTCACATCCTCACATCCTCACAGCTTCACATCCTCACGTCCTCACCTCTTCACATCCTCATATATGCACATCTTCTCATCTTCGCATCATCTTATCTTCACATCTTCTCTCTTTCCTTCTTACTGTCCTGCCCTCTTGCTCTCTTGCCGTCTTGCTCCAGGCCATTCGGCGTTGCGTGGAGTCAGAGGTGCAGGCTGTGGATGTGGGATCCGTGCGTGCCCACATGGTGACTTTCACCGCGGAAGGCATTGCGTATTACACAGCATCCTGTTGCACTATGAGACTGCTTTCTTTTGTAAGTTCTATAACATGAGTATACATGTATATTCTAGATGTATATATACATATATATATATAGGTCTGTGTGTGTTGTTCGTTTTAAATGCCTGAACATCTATATATATATATATATCTATATATATTATTTTGTGCGTGGCATTACTTGAGGTCAACGGCAATTTGGTCGGACTTGGCGATGGCTGGTTTCGCTTCTACAGCAACTTAGAGGCGGAGAAGTTTGCGCCCGACGGGACTTTGCTGTATGTTGTCAGCCGTGATGGCGCGTCGCAACCTGAGATGCTGAAGTGGTCGCAAGCCAGGCAAAAAGACATCCAGGATGCGTACAATGACACTGCTTCATGGACGGCCTTGGATGAAATCATCCAACAACACAATTACAGCTTCTCATCCATAGCTGCGTGGCCTGTGGATGGTTGCCTTGTTTGCAAGCCCGCAGAAAGGGCAAGTGTGCTGCTTGGTAGCCTGCAAGCCGCTTGCAACTTGGATGTCATCAAAGAAGATCTTGGCGTGTCTGTAACAGTGGTTGTTTCCATGTGTGAGACTGAGATGAAACCACATGGAGCTCCATCGAATTGGAAGGAATATTTCAGTGAGCACGATGTAGTTCATATTCATTGTCAGTTGGATGACATCACATTGAAGCAGCCGGGCCGCGACTTGGAACGGCACGAAGCATTGCAAAGGAAATGCCTCTCCAGCTGGAAAAGCATATGCTTTCAACTGTGGCAACAGTCAATCATTGCCGTCAACGAAGACAAGCCCATGCACATTTTGTTTCATTGCTTTGGTGGGATCAATCGCAGCGCTGCGATTTTGTGTGCCTGGCTCATTGTGGCCTATGACTACTGCGCGGAGGATGCGATCAAGCTGTTGCTCACAAAGAGACCGTCTCTTCGCCCATGGCGCCATCGAGACTATGTTTTGGATGCGTTGTGGATGGTGGAGCAACAGCGCTCTGAGTGGTGCCGGGATTTCCAACATGGCGCAGCCTAGCTCTCACTTGTTTGTGCGCTGGGAGCTCTGGTAGCGCGTTTTTTTCAATTTCAAAATGAAATGCATCAGTGCATCCTGTTTCACCATAGTGCAGCGGCAGAAGTCAAACAGAACTGTCTGAGACTTTGGCATCTACACCCAACTTTGTCATGAACAAAAGTTGCTGATTGCTTTTTTTTCACCTATGCATGGAGAGTATCTGTCTAGAAAACCATGAGACTGTGCATGTAGGTCCCGTGAATAGGTTAAGACGTCACTGAATGTAATCTGTCACAGTCACCAGTCATAGTCCTTGACTGCTTTGCAGGTCTTTGCGTCTTCTATGCAGCTTGGTTTTCATCAGGCCACGGCCCCGGGAGAGGATGGATTAGATGCATATATGAGTGCTGATGTGATTCTTGCCTGCATCTGTTGGAGTCAGGAGAAATGGTAGAAGTTCACTAACACGAGTCTCTGCTGTCGAAGCATGGACAGTTGCATTACTGGAAGGCATCAGTACCATTTCGTGTTGATGACGGCTCAAGCTCCTGGATAACAATTTATGTGCCTGCACTGTGCCCGCCTCTCAAACAGTTCCGGCTATACTCACTCTTGTCGCACAAACCGTCAAGATCACAAAACACCCATGCAGGATCTGAGATAGGTAGGTAGGTAGGGGTAGGTAGGTATAGGTAGGTAGGTAGGTAAGTAAGTAAGTAAGTAAGTAAGTAGGTAGTAGGTAGTAGGCGGAAGGTGGTAGGTGGAAGGTGGTAGGCAGGTGGTAGGCAGGTGGTAGGCAGGTGGTAGGCAGGTGGTAGGCAGGTGGTAGGCAGGTGGTAGGTGGTAGGTGGTAGGTGGTAGGTGGTAGGCAGGTGGTAGGTGGTAGGTGGTAGGTGGTAGGCAGGTGGCAGGTGGTAGGTGGTAGGTGGTAGGTGGTGGGTGGTAGGTGGTAGGTCGCAGGTAGCAGGTAGCAGGTAGCAGGTAGCAGGTAGCAGGTAGCAGGTGGCAGGTGGCAGGTGGCAGGTGGCAGGTGGCAGGTGGCAGGTGGCAGGTGGCAGGTGGCAGGTGGCAGGTGGCAGGTAGCAGGTGGTGGTAGTAGTAGTAGTAGTAGTAGTAGTAGTAGTAGTAGTAGTAGTAGTAGTAGTCATAGTAGTCATAGTCAGTAGTAGTAGTAGTGGTGGTGGTGGTAGTAGTAGTAGTAGTAGTAGTAGTAGTAGTCGTAGTAGTAGTAGTAGTAGAGGAGGAGGAGGACTAAAAGTAGTAGTAGTAGTAGTAGTAGAAGTAGAAGTAGAAGTAGAAGTGGTGGTGGTGGTGGTGGTGGTAGTAGTAGTAGTGGTAGTAGTAGTAGTAGTAGTTCTGGTGGTGGTGGGGAGGGGGGTGGGGGGGGTGGGGGGTGGACTTGATTCAGACGAAGCAAAAAGGCGCAGCAAGAGAACAAAGGAACAAGTGCAAACCAAGAACAGAAACAAGAACAACACCTTCCAATCAGACAGGCCGGCGGATTATCATTTGCGTGCCGATGTTTGACTTCTCCTTTTGTTTGCAGGTGCATGCCGAAGGACTTGAAGCGACTGTGCGGAACTTGGGTGAACCCAGTGGCCCAGGGTGCCAAGGTTTCTTCAACCCTAAATGATGACCTGTCCCTGTGGGATGTGAGGAGCTGGAAGAGTGTTCAGATTTTCTTTTTCACTGCACTTTTTCCATGGGACAAACCCAATGACAAGTTGTTGGTCTGGTTGGAGAGAATAACTTTCCATCTCAGTGAGGTTGGAAGTGGCAGCCGGGCAGAACCGACTTCAACGGCGCATCGGAGAGGCGTAGACACCGCTGTTGAACTGTTGAACCATGGGAACACAAGCAGTGGTTGCTAAACCCCGGTTGGTTGATATCGGGGATTATATCAACCAATATATTGGAAAATTTCACAACCCAGTAGAGGAATCCCTATCAACCGACGACAGAAGGTTTTGACACTGCTCAAATAGTTTGCATGTCAGACCTGAGATATTGTTGGGATTGACGATCTATTTCACTGCAATTGTATGCTCTCAAGGGCAGTTTTAACGGTATATATTTTTGATTTGATATACATATGCCCAATTTCCAAGGTGGAAAAAAGAAAGACTTGGCCCGTTCCTGAGCATTCTGTGACCACAAACGTCAAGATGCAATCGGCAGGGTCCAAATCAACGTGAACGGTAACTACTCGCATCCGAACTCTCCCTTCGCCAAAACACGCATCCTTGAAACTTTCTTTCTTGTTCTAGACAAATCCATATGTTTGAACGTGCAGCGTATGGATGTTTTGACTGTGCTTTCACGCACCTTGAACAAACTGGCTGAGGCACAAGTCTGGCGTACGCTAGCTCGTTTTAAGTGAATGGTCAAGATACAGTGGGATGCTCTTTGTGCTGGGGGTTGTTCCATACATTGCAGGCAATCATGACCAAGTCACAACCTCTTGATTTGGGGGTTGCACAATTACAAGTCAGCTGAATAGTTTTTGTATGTGGAAATGCTGGTGGGAAACTGCCAGGTGGTGCATTTGCAGATCTTTTGGCATGTGGCAAGAAGGTGGGTGGCTCAAAGTTCCCGGTAGCTTCAACCTTTAGGTTTCCTTGCTCTTGCTGGGACAACCTACCATGGGAATAACATTGACAGATATTCTGGTTGTATTGATGCATGGAGCGCTGCTGTAAATACTTAACACTGCCCAGCATGGTAGCTCCGCTCCAGTTGTGACCAAGCTGTTCAGATCTTTGCCATTTGTGGTCGGCTGTGCCATTTCTTCGCATGACATGACAGGGCTGACATCAAGTGGTGCGCACTTGGTCTGAGCTGGGACTTGCAGCTGTGTGCTGCGGATAAAACGTGATTGTCACCGTGACCTGCCGTCACCTGTGCGGTGAAAAGGATCAAGGTATCCGGCAGAGAATAAATCCAGACATTTTCCTGCATGTCATTGTACATTGCGCTTGTACAGGAGTCAGATGGGGATGATGTGGCCATTTCGCTGGCAGTTGGGTCGTTGGTCGGCCAATTTTGACTGGGTCGACATGTGCCGCGAAGGCAGCCCAGTGAAAACACGTGGGGTGCCCTTTGTACAGCCCTGAGCACTTGGCTTGACACTCTGAATGGCTTCATTCAGATCAGGGTTTGGCTACTTTGCTCAATTCTGGCCTACTTCCTGAAGCGAAGTTGGAAAACAAGTCCTGGCACAGCGAACTTTCATGCCATGATCTCGCCACTGCTTCAACCACTTGCACAGACTCCAACTGAAGCCGTGTTTTGGATTCCGACCCCACTGGACAGATTTTCGTTCAGAACATACCAACATAGGATTCAGTTTCCTCATTTTTGTGCCCCAAGACTGCTCCACGCAGGCTCTCACTGAGTCAATCCTGGACCTTTCAAATTTGGGGAGGACTGTGGATGGCTCAGGGTGTGGTACTCAGTCTGTCGTTGCATCTAGATGTCGACCAGAAAACAGTCTGTCACATTGAACCGAGGTTCGCATTTCTTGGTGCCTCTTGCATTGGCAAGCGATTGGGTCCTATCAAGATCATGGAGGGGTACGCCAGGGGGTGGCCCTGATGCTAGATTCTGCTAAGATCAATGATGTCTGCTCAGAAACCAGAGAAGATAGAGAAGGCTGCATCGTTCACGTCAAACTATATTTTCTGGCATGCGACGTGAAATCTTTACCCTGATGCATTTCACTCCTACAAACGGGTGGAACTTGTCGTATTTTCCAAGTGTTTCACCTGCCCTTCCATGTAGACCCTCGCAATTCATTCGCTGCAGTTGAAGCATCAAACAAATTGATGACGTTGGCGGGAGTTTGCAAGCTGACCTAAGTTTGCAAACAGCTCGATCTTGAGGTACACTTACCTCCAGACCCTTGACTTTTCGGATAACTTGATCAAGGATCACGTTGGACGTTTGCGAAAGTTTGGAAGCATGTTGATCTCCAAACATAGTGCTGTCACCAATGTGAAGATTCCTGGCACGCTTGGTGAAGTCAGTGATGTTGTTTAAATCCTTACTAAATGGGTATGGGTCAATACCTATAGATACATTTTTAGTGGGATGAACATCCATTTACCAGCTATTTTGTGGTTCACTAGGTACCAGGGTTTTGACCCATCCCCAAATCCTCGCCGTATCTTGCCGTCATTTTGGATCTACACAACTCTCGAAGCACCAGGATGTCGCAGCCTTGAAGGGTCTCAACCTTCTGGTCAGCAGCCCAGTGGAGATTCGGGCTTGCTGGGTTTGCCATGGCTTTCCTGAGTGATACCCTCTGGTAAACGTTTACATAGCTATGGAAAATTACTATTTTTTATGGGAAAACTCACTATTTCTATGGTCATTTTCAATAGCTATTTTGACATAACCAGAGGGTAAAGCCAATTGGAAGATGATGGAAGCCTCAATTGCCCAAGGTGAAACTCAACTTGGCAAAGAATTCCATCGCAAACCTGAAGGGCTGGGAATCTGAGGAGGCCGTCGAGCGGAAAAAACATGGGACGTACCGCATTTTATGGCAACTTTCTTGCGGAAATCATATGACTATACAGTATACATGATACTGTATATATATATATACACATACACAATATGTATACAACGTAAATCATCAACCACGAGATTTTGGGGCATACCATGGTATACCTCAGTGTTGGGCAAAGCCATGAAGTGTCCAGGCGATCTTCCCGAATCTAGTGGAGCTGAATCTGAATGACAACCAGCTGAGTGCCTTACATGCTATGCCATATCAGGTGCCCAGCACTGCATCTCCTTTCGTGACATCGGTGTGGCTGAAAATAGGTTTTCAGCCCAATCCAAGGGTTAATAAAACCATCTCCATCCATTTCCCAATTATACAATATTGCCATGTTTTGGGGGTATATAAGCCATTTTCAAACACACCCAGATCTATACTCAAAGAATATCATTGGTGTGACATACTGCATTCGACCCTTGCTGCGCACAGGTTCGCATTATTCGTTGTTATTTTGCATCCGCACTGGGATGAGGATGATCGTGATGATGATGATGATGATGATGATGATGAGTGATGATTGATGATGGTGTGATGATTTGATTCTGCTTGGCTCATATTGTCTTGGACGGGTCGTTCAAATTACTCACTGGCCGCAGCTGCAGGCGCTTGCGTCGTTGAGCGTGGCTCGGAATGAGATCGCCAGCTGCGAGTTTGGAGGCCAGCAATCGCTGCAAAAAATGAGTAGCTCCACACAGGGGACATGGTTAAACCTTGGTGAATGGGTTGGGGATAGGTGAGTATATCGTATAGAATCTGGAGTGTAATCCGTTGAACCCGTGATCCAATGAATGATGGGTGAACCTTGGTGAATTGTAGGTTGATGACACATGTTTTTGCCATAAATGTGGGAATACAATATCCAGATCCTTTTCTCTCAGTGTATCCACGATTAGCAAATTGGATATTGACACTGCAATCAAGAAACGGGACAACCATGAGTATGCAGTGAAATATAATTGATACACTAAAAAAAAAGACCAGAATGTCATTCTTAAACGGCCTTTGACACACGATTTTCAAGCGTTATGCAACACTCAATATACATAATGCAACCAACAAGAACACATGGCCAGGTAAGCCCTTGGTTTTTTGTTCCTTGAGTCCTTGAGTCGATTGCAGGTCATGAGAGGATCCAGAACTTGGATCTCTCATCGCGATGGCCCCAGCCAAATGACGATCCTGATTTACCTACTCTGTGGGGCAAACATGTCTCAATATGTCTCAATGCCAGATGTTGATTCATGACTCACATGACTATTGCGGTTGGATTTTGCCTGAGCCAAACAAGAGTTTGCATTATTTAGATGTCACTAGGAAGGCCTGTGCAATTGCAGCACCAAATATGCAGGGTCGTGATTTCGGGCAGAAACATACGGACCACCTAGGAACAAACTGCCTTCGCTCACGGGTCTTGGAGCATTGCCGTCCTTGAGAACGCTGAATGCAGGGGCCGCAGTGAGTGTGACTGAAAATGGGGTACACCGATGCAACCCAAACGTGGCAATTTGAACGGGGGAAATGATGATAAACCAATGGATCGTAGGGTATATGATGTATGATACATGCTATTTTGAGACAAACCCATATCATTGGAGATGTCAAGTCTCGCCTTTACATTTGGAACCATGGCGCTGATTTGAACTCAAGCGGTGATTTCCTCAGCTTGCGAGATGAAGAGTTTAGACAACCAGAACTGACCAGTCTCATCAGTTGTTTTCTGGAGGAAAAAGAAGTCTTGCCTCACTCTTGTGGGCTTGCCACATTTGTTTGGGTCTTGTCTTTGTTCTTGCCAACACTGCGCGCATTGCCATGTCGACTGATGGACTGAGCGGTCATCAGATCCCAGAGGAGTATGGCTCAACGAAGCCATTTTTTAAATTGGCAGCTTTGATCGTCTCCAGGTTGCAGCGTACAGAGTCAGAGGCTTTGAAAGCATGACATCTGTAGGTCGTGGAATGCGATTTGCCAATGTATGGTGCGAAACTCACTTTCCTGCAACCTTCATTTGTTTCTGGTGTCTCACAACTTAAGATGTTCGTCCTTTGCCACTTTTTTCTACTGTGCTCCTGAGCTCAAGCGGTCCCAAGCGGTCCCAATCGGTCCCAAAGATCCTGAGGTCCTCCCCTGCACAGTCATATCTTTGCTTATGGCTAATGGCTACACAAGCACCGGTGCCTGGACAGTAAATAGCGGATGCGGATAGCACGCTGCCTAAGTGTGAAACTGCACTGCTGATTTGCTGCATCTGTTGCGAAGCCTGAAAGAGGCATTTGCAAGATGGTTTCGTTGCTGGGGGCTGCTTATGCATTTGGCAGCAATGTGACTTGGCTGATGAATATGATGGGAGAATCTGTGAATCTCAGCAATTTTTACTACGCTTCATGGTGCCTTTCCAAAGAATTCGGTGCAAAACCTAGGTGTGGCTGCTGAGATATGGGCCTCGAATGTATGCAGTTTGCTGCAAAGAGTACAGTTGGCTTGGAAAGGAAGCCTTCAGCACGATCCAGGTCAGGCTCAGTGGGTCATGGGTCATGGTATGTCATGGTCCAGTTCGCCTCTGTGGTGTTTGTCCACTTTCACTTGGGATGCCATGACTGGAAGGAATCCCAACATTCGACCTGGGTGGGCTGATTCGAATAGTAGAGGGTGAAATTTTGGTGAAATTTCAGGAATCTTTTCATCTTGGATACCCAAACAATGTTGAATCTTCAATGATCTTATATAATGTCTTCTCGAACAAAAAACAGGTCCGAAACAGTTCCAACAGTTGGGAGAAACAGCGCCCAAAAACATCAACAAAGCCACAGGCCGCTTGCTTTCCTGAATACTTCGCCCTCCAAAGCGGCTCCTGTATCTTAGCCCTGGCCGCGGCGAACAGCTTCATGGCTCGACTGGCCATGGCTTTGGCCATAGCTTTGGCACTGGTGAACCAACTGGCGCTGGGGCCAAAGACAGCCCAGCTGATGGTGTCTTGGGGATGGATTGGAAAGTATTGGAAAGTTGGTTTCATCATGTTTCATCCAAACTTCATGATGTTGTTTGGATGTTGTTTGGATCTTTTGTTACCAGATATTTTGCTGCCTTTGCGATGACATCATGTTTTCTTCCAGGCGTCAAGAGTGGATAGCATTTTTCTTGAATACAAACGACCTTGCATTGGATCCACTGTCTGATGTTCAGGCCAATAAGTTAAGATCACCACCAAGGTTTCAGTCGTGTTCTCATCACACAGACACCTGTTGCTTTCAGGTCAAACTCTACGAGAAATCGAGCGGTGCAGATGCGTCGCTGCTGAACAGTAGCACATACGTGAAGAAGAAGTTCGGCCGCTTGCTTGTAACATCAAACACCAGAGACCTTACAGCCTTCACGTGCTACGATGCTCACCAAGTCCTGTGGGTTTAGGATAGGAAGCACTTTTACGAAGGAAAGAATCAGATGCAGCAGTCGCCTGCATTTTCTTTTGTTCCTTTAAGTGCATGTTTTGCAGCTGCTGATAATCGAGGAATGATCCACGGCATCTCCATGTTGCTGGACCTATTGAACTTGATTGCCGTTTGTGTCTACCTGTGCATTGTTGCACAGTAGTTGATCCTTTGCACGTCACCCTCGGTGTGACGATGGTTTGCAGCCAGCCACTTGGGTGCCAACGAAGGCATTCGCAGCCGCTATAGCCGGTATAGCCATTGCTGAGATGTGGATTTGCGCCTCTGCAAGAAAAGCTTCCACTGAAGGTGGAGTTGTGTTTGTTGATTCCTCAAACCTTCTGCAAGTATTTGCAGATACTTGAGCTATGGAGATCATCTACCGTAGCGTTCCAGACTAGGAATTTGATGTATTTTGTTGGCACGTAGTCCACCTACATTTGCAGGAGTTGAACTTGTCACTCAGTTGCTAGGATGACTGCCCCTAAGGCCTCGAACAACGATATTGCAGATTTAAATGGTCCTGAGCTCAGCATCTCCAAGGCCATTCTCATCCATTCTCATAGCTTTGAAATGCCTTGCCCCGAACACATCGACAAAGCTGACCCGTTTGAGTTTTTGCATGTGGTACTATGTGGTACTATGTGGTACTAAGGGATCAATGAAGCACCATCGCTGGAGGCATGGCGCCTGCCATTCTCGTTAGACTTTTGATTTCTTGGCGTCCTGTTTGCTCCTGCTTGGTCCTAGCAGTCTTAGCATTTATGAGGAGCACAAACATGCGTAGGGGGTGGGTAGCAGAAGGATGCACAAAGTGTTTGTGGACAAAAACGTGCCCATAGTGCCCCTAACAGTGAAAAATCTGGCCTTGAAATATCTTGAATTGGCATGACATGACTTCGATATCACCGAGCTCTCAGGAGCTGCAACTGGCCCATAACAAGCTACAGGCCCTCGAGGGCCCATGGACGGAGCCAATGGGTTGGGCCGCTGCCAGGTGCTTGATGGGTCAGCTCTGCCTGGGTGGCTGCAAGACACCCTTGTTCATGCATACTTATGGAGGGGATTATTATATATTATTATACTGTAAATTATACTATCCTAGAACATTGGAGATTATCATTGCAATCATAATCCAGGAGATGGAAATTAAATGAAATTAATTCATGTTTGTCCAACCAGTATGATGCGATGGATCGGCCGCGGTTGCTTGTGGCTCAAGGGTCACTGACCCAGCTTGGGTAGTGGAACCCAGGTGACGGACCCAAGGGTGCATCTTATGTCGCAGGTCTGGGAAAAGCAATGTGCTGTTGCAGATCCTTATGTGACTTATGTGCATGCATTTGACTCTATACACTGACTCTCTACCTTCAATACCTAAAAAAGAACATAGCCTCATGATGTGTATCACTGCTTTGGAATTTTAAAAGATTTCAAACAATTGCGCTTAGCTTTCGCCTTTGTAGCACCTCGAATTGTTCCGAGTCTGCCTCTACAAGACCACCAGTTACTGTCAACGTTGCCGCGCAGGCAGAGAAAGCAGAGAAGCTTCTGAAGGTGCTGCATCCTTTTCCAGTCCAAAAGAACATCCTTCACCGTAGCTCTCATCTTTCTTGGCCAGGTAATCCTTTCCCTGAATGTTATATAAATACACCTCAAAAACCCTGGTTTCCTACTGGATCTTTTCCTTTTTGGGCCCCAAACATTGGGCATATTTTATGATGTTTGCCATTTCATACCAGTAAATATCCCAATCATATCCCCAACTGTATCCCCATTAAATGGTCATCATCATCCATCAGCCATCATTTAGTAATTTGGGCATTATAATTACAGTTCATAATCCGCAACAATCCTTAATCATAGCTAGCAATCCCCAATATGTGTATATATATATATATAATATAACACAGTTTTTCTAGTCGATGGCATTCTTGAAGTCGCCGCAGGAAGCAGAGCTTGCTCAGCTCCATACCCAAACGGACGTGTCCATCCGGGTGGGCAGCTGAAGGGGCCGAGTAGACTGTGGTGGGGAGGAGTCACCAATGAACACTTTTTGGGTCTTCGGAAACCCCAACCCCCCCCATGGATTTTGTCAGGTTGGAATGCTAAACCATCTGGAATTGAACAAGAACATCATCATGCAACTAGGAACTAGGATCATCCTGAACTTCTTGCTTCTCAGATCTTTTGTTCCGAAGCCATTTTCATCCACTGGCCTCTCGCGCTCCCGGACAAAAAACTGGACTCTGACCGCCATGACTGCATTGGAGAGCGGTGCACGTCGCTCCCGTCGTAATCAGCGTGGTCTTGAAAACGTTCCAGGTGCCTTTGCTGCATTTCCAACGGGGGTTAACAACTTGGCGCCAACATCTTCTGGTTATATAATTCTTTGATATTCTGAATGGGGTTATAGAACCCCTCCAATAAGGAACCCCCTAAAAATAGAAAGATCATTTAGAGTCATTTACTACAATTTTAGCCCGATTTTACTCTATCTCTTTGGGTGTGTCTGAACATGGGGGATAGACTCCCAATCTGTGGCCATTAGGGAAATGATGACCATCGACTGGAATTGGAGCTGCCCTATGCTCAGACAAAACCATATGAATTTTGGGGGTTATGCCAATTGTTTGTTATCCGGGATAACTTAGATAACATATATAAAACACATCCAATGTGGATGTCAAGTCACCACATATCCCGCTCTTCCAGCCAGGATTGCCAGCTCTCAGCTACACCTCGATGTGCAAGTTCCACTTGAGGAGATCGAGGGATGTTTTTCTCCGGTTATTTTTCACATAGCTATGGAAATCACCGAACTAAATGGGTCATATTGGTCATATTTTAGTCAATTTCCAAAACTATTTTAGAGAACTGGAGTTGAGAGACTCATACCCTCTAGTAATCATTGCCGTGGCTGGAAAATCCCTAATTGAGTTCGATCATTTTCCGATTTATGATGTGATGATGAGATGCAATGAGATGCCCATTTCTTGGAGATTTCCCAGCCATGTTTATTTCGTGGAGGGCAGGAGGGGTAGCCAATCACGTGCAGCGAAGCTTCTTGCCAGCTAACTTTTTTTTCTTTGTAAGATTGGAGTTGTCCATGTTGTCCATTCTCATCCAATCTCTTTTTGGATCAAACCAGTTCCATGGAGAGAGAAGATGGAAGTACAATGCGACAGGAAGAAGTGCTCCCGCGGTGATCAATGCACCTTTGCCCATGATGAGTCGCAGCTTCGTGGCAAGCCGGACTTGGCAGGCAGGATTTTGGACCGCAGTCGACCCAGATTGTGAGTGTCGTTTACTGGTTTCGTGAGGATATAACATGGCCCTGGTAGGTACAAAACTCTGCCGATTTTATGCTGCCGGGCAACCTTGTCGCTATGGTTCCAAATGCACTCATTCCCATGGTCCTTTCGATTCTGGATATGGTTCACAGGGCAGCCAGGCGGGGATTTTCTTGTGGCAGCCCAGGGTCCAGGGCCATTCAGGGCCCCTCCAATCGGCCCATTGGTTCGTGGTTCATCCATCGTCAGGTTTTTCTTTGCTTCCATTGTTGCGCATTGCAGCACTTCTGAAGATAGCACTATCCACTATCTAATATGCCCTGACCGCAGCCCTGACCGCAGACATCTGATGAACTTGAAGAAGGATCAACACCTTCACCACACTATTCACCGCGCTACGTTCATATCCCTGAGTTGATGACAATGAAGCGGGACAAGGTTGGCCAGGAGCTACAGCTAAACCAGAATGTATATGACATGGCCTTTACGTGAGTTTCAACTTGACCTCTTGTTCTGTTCACCTTTGACACCAGCCAGATACAGTTGAACTGAGTTGTTTTATGCTGGGATCCAATTTAGTCCAAAGAATCTCTGAGTGGATCCCTGCACAAGCTGCAGGACTTCCCAATCGAGGCACCGACTGAGCGAGCTCAATTGCTTGCAGCTTTGGAATTGCTGCAGACTTGGGCTCCTTGGCAGGATCATTTCACTGAAATCTGAGAGACTCCCAGCTACTGCTTTCGCAGCTACTGCTGTTGCAGTCAGGTGAACCAGAACGGCAACAATGATCAAGGCACTTCTGAGAAAATGCCTATGCGCCGTCTGAGCGATGGCCCTTCCCGTACGAAATTTTGTTCGGTCTGGTTTTAAACTTCTTGGCCAAACAGGGCAATTTGGATGAGAAGGTTCGCCAATAGGAGACAGAATGGCGGTGATTTTTTCCATTTTTTCCAAAGCTGGTGCACGGTGTAATATGGCGAGTCACCTCCTCTTGGAGGTAATTTATGTACGTACCTATTTTGCTTCAAATGTTGTCTCCTGGGCACCAGACAGCCGAGAGGGTTCAGAGTGGTGGGGCACCCTTCTTGCTTGCTACCCATCAGAGCAGAGGAATCCACCATGCTTTGAACGACTCTGTTTAGCGGCCCGTCAAGCACTCTCTGCTTGGCAGGGGCCACTCCGACACGTCGGTGACCATTGCCATTTGAAGCCGGTCTCTCCGTTGAAGACAGACCCCATGAAACCAACCAAGCAATGACTTGCATTGAAAGGCGCAATATTCCTACCAAACCTGGCGTATGTTTGTGCGGTTGTTTGTTTTTACTCGGTTTAGTTTTGGCTAATGCTAAATTCCATTGAAGAAGGCAATTGCCTGCTCCTGACATTTGCGTTTCCACAGCAGGGGATCTATGTCTTCTTCAGAATAGGTGCATTTCTTCAGAGCCTTCCGGGCTATACATCATTCCAATTTCCAAGTCCTTTTTGCGCTCTCCATGGAAAGACAATTCAGAAAGCAGTTCACAAAAATTTCTGGATGTTTCAAGTCACCCATCACTGCGTTGCTTGTCTCCACTGCCTTCCCTCCGAGAGCTTGGAGAGCACCAGCCTCCTCCATATGGACAGCCGTTTGTAAGGGTTCTGCACAAATTTTGTCCGAAAGTACCCGCAGATGCCCATGGGAACGTCGAACAAGAAGTAACACAGAAAAAAGTGGTGTTTCTGTGGCCCTTTCGCGACATTCATGTAGAGATAATCTAGGAATGAGGTTGGTTGGGTCAATCGGAATCAACCCCTTTCTGTTTTCTTAGTCTGATTTCCCGGGGCAGGTGCGGATAGCAGGGGAGAATGAGGACAATGTATATACAGCTTCAGCACAATAGATTTGTGCGGCCCAACTTGTGCGGCCCAACTTGATCCACGTGGATCTGCTGCCGCAAAGGCAAAGACGAGTCACCTCCAGTGGCACGTTGGGGAGTTGGGCATTGCCTACAGTGGCAACCTCTCCCTGCTTTGGACCAGAGCAAGAACCCAGATCCTGAACAAAACACAACAACACTATTTGAGTGACCAAAAATCTTGTGGCCCCGGGGGCCTCTTCTGAAGCTATGTGAATATGTCGAGTGAAAGTTCAGGTGACGGTGAGGTACTTCCTGCTGTTGGGTTTGAGGACGTGATCATTGTGGATCCTTCGGAGAACTTGATCCACCACAGCGTGACTGCCAGCACCAGCAGCTGGTGAACTGACGTCACCAGTCCATCCTGTGCGCCATGAGGTGCCCCCAGTGCTGGAGCTGCGGGGTCCTTGACAGTTCCTCTGTTGGGCAGAAGGCCCTTGGGAACGTGGACTGCAAGGTGACCCTGGCAGCGCCAAGTGGTCCAAATAGAACGGAGCAGCCGCCTCTGGGAATGATATATATATTTCTCCTCCATTCTTGGGGGTGCAATAGGGATGTCCATTTTGCAAGAAGTCACTTCACAGTGGTCACAGCCATGTGGATATTGCACAAGTACTCTTCATTTTTGCGAGTGGCACATCCCCTTGGCCCTGAGCCCAGACTGAAGCCTTGTGAAGCACAGGCCCAGCGACACTCGGGAGTTTGCCGGAAGATCCTTCTCTTGAAGAATCGGACCACATTGGACCGGAGTCATTTCGGAGTCATTTCCACCATGCCTTTGGTATCCGGTAATTGTAAAGTTGAATGGTTGAGCTTTTTGTTTGAATTCGTTTTTGCTCACGTCCAAGAGCATCGGAGAAAAACAACAAAAGATATATAGGTGATTATAGGTGAAGGAAGAATCACTTCTAACTTGACTCTTAACAGGTTTTACAGCAGTCCAGGCCCACCCAGTGTCGCATTCACAGAGGCTCTCGGAAGCGGCAACAAGTTTGCAAGGGTCCGTGCCGTGCACACAAAGAAAACGATCCGTCGTAGGCAACTCATAAACGCTCCACAAAACACAGATCCGTGTCAGCTGCTAAGACCAGTTGAAATCAGAACAGGGAGGACTTGTTCCACTGGATGCAATTTGGTCACTTTTGCTGCATTTCTGAGCCATTTTTGGTCGTCAAACTTCAGAGACGGCAGGGCATTGCCATTTTTGGTCGCTCCTTGTTCGGATCTGGGCAGCTGAATGCAGGTTCCTTTGTACTCTACGTTTGTAATGGGAGCACTCCTGCGCTGCGGCGGAAAAAGTCGCCGGTTCGATTATTTTGTCTAATGTTCTTTACTGATCTTTACTGAATGAAGACAAGATCTGGGAGTATCCACATGGTTTTTGGAGGCCTCTGTTTTCGTTTTCATCGTGCTTAGATCATCTTAGATCTGTCCAGCTGGGCACAGGATGCTTCAGCCGCGGCAGAGATTTTCCGAAGCCTCGGAGTGTGGCTCCCAGAGACTTCGCTGACGGGACTCCCATCTGAGAATCCGCCATTGCCACGGTTGTCACAGCGTTGTCACCAAGGATCATGCCAAAACAGCGGAAGCCATGCGGATTCTGATCGCTGGAAAGCTTAGGCATCACATGCGTCACATGGGGATGGGTTGAAACTTATTTAAGCGACATTTGGGAGAGATGAAGATCTACATCCATTTACCAGCTATTTGGGGGTTCACCAGGGCACCAGGGCTTGGACCCATAGCCACATGGCATCAGGTTTTGATTTTGGGATACCTGCAAGATCTGCAAGTGTTGACGGGAGACTCCCTGGGCAGGAAAGCCGATGGTGCTAGACCTGTAGAGGCTTTGGACCATGTCAATCAGGCTTGGAGAAGTTGTTGGTGTTTTCTTCTCTCGTCTTTTAGAGGATTCACGCTCGTGGCAGTTGTTGTGTTGCAGGAGCTGGCAAGATTCCGTGAATTGGGCAGCAGAATAGGAGAGGCATGGCGCCTAGGCCATTGCAGGTCAATGTGCAATTGTTAGAGATAATTTAAACTTGTCATTGTGTTCATGACCCAGTCAGATGCTGAAGAGCTTTAAACACCCTGCGTTGCAAGCCATCTGTATTTCCTTTGAGCTGATCTTTGACTAGAAATCTGGTTTTGTCGGAAACTTGGCATCAGCATGGAGAAGGTGACATTTCTTTGATCCTTTCACCCAGGCTTCCATGATGCTCTCACTAGCCGAGATCAACACGGACCGTGTGGGGACTGGATGGAACAAGAACGATGGAGCAGTGGCCTGTTGGCCCATGGCTCGTGGTTGTTTGTAAGGGATTTTGATTTCTAAAGAAATTCCTGGTTTTTTAATGTTTATTTTTATATAGAAGCACTGAGGTACTGTAGACCTTTCACCAACGAGGAAGAGCTTGACATAAGCATTTTTGGCCACTGCCCTTGCTCAGCAATGAAGTCGACCAACAGTTGTGACAGGACCGCCGTGGGACTCGCAAGCGTGAGGCGCCGGTAGCATTGGCTGCGACTGCGACCACGTGGGGTAACTGTGCCCCTGCCAGCTTTGGATTCCTCCAGGAATCCTTGCAGATGGGTCTGGAAGCTCTTGAGATGTTCAAGGAGGTCGGGGCTGGTCGGTCCTCTCAAAGGCTTGAAGGCTTCGAATTGTTTCGAGCTTGCAAGGCTTGAGGTGTTTGGAAAGGCTAGTGCAGTTCTGTTAAGGCTCCTCCAATTTTCTTGGATCATATCAGTCGCTCCTCTGCCCCGCAGCGGCCGTCTTTTGTCAGTTGGGCAACAAGCGGCTACAAGTGTCAGCCCTGCCATGCTCCAAGCGGTTGATTTGAGTTTGACCTTTCTGGAGATTTGCGGCCAACTGCCCAAGAAACGCAACTTTTCCCGATGCCAAAGCTGGTTGGATTCTGGGTTGGCAAAGCTGGCCACAAATTCTCAGAAGTAATGGGCTATAGCATGCTATAGCCATCTTTACCCCAATGGCCATCAGTCGTGATGGGATGATGATCAACCAATTGGATTTTGGCTTTCCCATACCATTTTCAGACAACCCCAGGGGCTTCAAAACTCTTGAAAGGATGCGGGGAATAAGGCAGCACCTGTCGAATGTACACATCAAGTTCTGCGACAAGGGTTGTGCTGGCAAGAGTGGCCGCGAGGCTCTGATGGATCTGTTGATTGAGGGGGTTATGAACCTACTTCGTTTGTTGACCCCTTTACAAACCAGGATTAAATGGTATGGGATAGGGGCAGGTTTAATGGTGCTGAGTTTGAGATGCATTGACATTTTGAAGCCACTTTGAAGGCTACCAGATATGCCCAAGAAGCCTTGGCTCTGGCAAGAACTCTCCAGGCACTTTGTTGACAATCCGATGCGCTTCTGGATACCAAACAAGATGATGTTGAAACATATTTCTGATGATTGTTGTTTCATTTGGTCGACGGTCATGGTGGTTAATAGCTGTGTTATTAAATTTTATTAAGTATGATCAGTATGATGGTGGTGGGGAACAATCATGACAACACTGGTGGCGGAGGTGAGGAGGAATGACACCGATCAATGGTTGTGGAAATCCATGATAGATTCATGATAGTTGATGAATAGTCGATGATGACGAGTACGTTGTTGGTTTTCATCTCATGCTTTTCAACACAAGCACTGGATTTTTGAGGGCGATCCCGTGCAAGACAAGCTCTATGAAGCCTCAGCGCTGCACAATGTAGCTGTGGGGAAGTGGTCTCCCGGCGCACTGGACAGAGACTGGACATGATTTGACACGCTTTCTGAGCTTCGAAAGAAACCTGGAACTGTGAAAGACTGCAGACATCTGCAGACAGAAGAATTCCAGACCTAGCTTTAGCTGCCTAGCTGAGCTTAGCCGAAAGGAAATTGTCATGCAGGAACCCAGCTTGACGGATCTTGCATGGTCAGGTACAGCGAGTGCCCCTTCAAGGAGATCCAGGGGTGTTTCATGAGTGCCATGAAAGGGTTTATGAAAGGTTTTGTGTGGTTCTCCTCATATGATGGGAATGGTGGGAATAGGTCAAATCATTGGCAAATTGACAGGTTTAATTTCAATATCATAACAATTCAGAACATGAGCGACCTGTTTGTTTCCCTCCATGATTTTTCCATTTTTGGGTCCAGATTGCATAGATTGCCGTGCCAGGATGGTCTAAAGGCGGCCAAAGAAGCCCTACAAATCTTCCGACAGCTGGGTTTGAAGAAATTCCAAGTCTGGAGCCCAGCGATGGATTCACGAAGCTGCGTCCAGAGGTCATGAATTCTCATGGAACCAGCAAAATAGTTGCTAAATGGATATTCAGGCCTCCATTCATATGGTATTGTCGGCTTTAACCCACCCCCATGTTTCCCCATGTTTGGTGGATGAAGTTCCCCTTTTTGTTAGCTCCATCATGTTCACTCTACTTTTTTTGTTGTTTTTTTTAATCATGTCAAATCCCGATTTTCGTTGGTCAACTCATGGTAAACATCAATTAGACCCCAATTTTCGGTGGTCATTGCGGGTGTCGATGGTTCTAAACCCTGAGGCTGCGCAACTCCACTCGATCGCGGACTGGCACCAGCGGCGAGGTTCGGCGATGGCATAGTGGCATAGTTCGGCGAGTTCTAAATGGCCAGAAAAAGTCCATTTGGAGTTGATTTGCCTAACATAACATAGTGATTTTCATTGATTTTCCATATTGATCATAGCTAACATGAGTTTATTAGAGAGTATACTCCCCAAATGGACATCTAAATGGGCAAACATATTTGCGAATCTATTGGAATTGATTGGAATTGTAGGTACCACCATTTTCAGACAAACCCACATGCCTCCAACTGAGGGGCTAAGGGTTGTGCCAGAAGAAGCCATGGCAGCCTTAAGAGCCGCTTGCCTGACAGGCATTGGAAAGCAGGGCCTTCCATTTGCAGAGGCCTGGATGATTTCTTTTGACATGGTTCAACAGCAAACAGCAGTACCAAGTCGTGCGGTAAACCCAGCAACTTGTCTGTGGATGCCTTCACTTGGACCAGGAATCCTTGCAGATTTTCCAAGAGATCGAGTCCGGAAAGGCTTGGACGACCATGTGCCATGTGGCACCATATGGCCCCACTCAGATTTCAGTGTCTTTCGTGGAGATTTTCTGGTTTTCCAGTACACATTCTGCGAATATCTTGACTTCGATGCAAGTGAGTCCTGCAACTGATTGCTTCGGACCATTTCATGTTTGAGCCAGCTTGGTTTGACCTTGTTTCATTTCAACATGTTCAGATGCGCATGCCGCTCTTATTCCAACATGCTGTCAGGGTTGGGAATCTGCCGCGCTTTGCACGCCTGGACCTTAGAAGCCTTAGAACGATGCATCACGACAGTGTGATCAAATCCTCAGGGTAAATCCATGCGATTTCCTGCAGGGTGGTGTCAGCTCTCATGGACAAGGCACGGTTTTTTGGTGGGCAGTGGCCAGGGCCAGGGAATCGTCACTCACTTTCCTAGCCAGGACGACACTGAAGCTGCAGTGAAAGTGGCCCAGGAAGGGTCTAATCCTTGGCGGCTGCAGTCTTCAAACACCATTTCCTGTCTCGAGATGTTTTTCCCCCATTGGAATTGTCTTCTGTGTTTACTTTTATTTGTGGAACGCATAGTTTATTAATGTTTATTATGTTTATGGACCATTTATGGATGTTCATTGTATATGCACTTCGGGAACCATGTTGATTGCACACTAAGGGTGGAGAAATTTCGCCAAAAGGGAGACAAGCAAGCAGAGGTGCCATGGTGCCCTCTCTGCCTTTGTATCTACCGGCACAAGTCATCAGACTATCCTGCGGGTTTTTGCGCACGGCCATGGGAGGCCCAAGCTCTTGATCTGTTGGCCGGGGTTTATTTGGCCAGCAATGAGAAGGATGAGGCCTCTATCCCAGCTTCACTGCCACTACCATGGCAGATACTCGAAACAAGCTGAGTTGAGGAATGGTAATCCCAGAAGCACTTGACCAAATGGTTATACAATGTTATACAGTAATACAATGTTACATAAAAATCAATGCCAGACTGTTTTAACACGCTTTTACTTGGAAAGATACCCAATGGTTTGGATGTGCTTTATCTGGGCTCAGTGTGGCAATCTGAGGCCTTGAAATTGGCGGAAGAGTCGTTGGCCCTCTTCAGAGAGGTGAGCCGAAATATGCGAATTTTCCGAGACACACATGAATCTGTCACCAGATTTCTTGCCGGTTCATAGGCTGTTGCACTGCTGATATATGATATATGTGTATATATATATATGCTTAACTATATATAATTCTATATATGTATATATCATATTACGTATAATATAATATAGCATAATACAATATAACATAATATAATATAACATAATATAATATAACATAATATAATATAATATAATATTATATTATATTATATTATATATTATATTATATTATATTATATATTATATTATATTATATTATATTATATATTATATTATATTATATTATATATTATATTATATTATATTACATTATATTACATTATATTATATTACATTATATTATATTACATTATATTATATTACATTATATTATATTACATTATATTATATTATATTATATTATATTATGTGACTATAAATGTATATAGCGGAACTGCCCTTCGATTCATTGCAGCTGGTTGGCACAAGGTTGGTGACAAGAGGGCTGAATCCTACGTTCTGCACACTGTCTCCCAGGCAAGCTGAGCAGTGTGGGTATGGCTCAAAATGATCACCCCCCAAAGCGGAGAGTTGAATCATGTTAAATACATTTAAATATACGACACAAAGCAATTGGCGCCATTGGCACCCCCCATGAGCCTGAAGGTGCAGGCCAAATCCGAAAACCACGAAGAGGCTGTGAAGCTAGCTGCACCCCCGGTGGTGACTGCCAGATGGCTGGCTCGCAACAGTCGCAACAGTCGCAACAGTCGCAATGGTCGCGCCGGTCCCCACCGACGTCCGAGGTCAAAGAATCCTTGGTCTTGGCTGGAGAGCTGGGTGATACCAGAGAGCAGGCATTGAATTCTAGCGAACCGGCGAACCATGGAAAATATGGCATAACATCATCTGATATCCACTGGCAAGAATCTGTCAATTATCTGATTTTGTTGGGTCTTTTTGTGCCGTAGTTTCGAGCGTCACCGAGTTACCAATTCGTGTTCCCTTTGTCCATTGTGTTTCCTCCATTTTTCTCAAGATCAATCATTCCTCAAGCCTGTCCAAACTTGTTGAGAAGGGCTTCTGAATTGGTCAAGCGATTTGCTTGTCTGGATTTTTTCCCTTCTGCACTTTCCCAATATTTCCTCCATGGGGCTGGCATCAGGCAAAATGCCTAGCTCAACTTTGCCGAATGCACCTCCTGGCACGAGAGCACTGCACTTAGAGATTGACCCAGGTAGTGTAGCGATCTGGCCAATGCCGGCCATGACATGAGTATCTGGCATTGGCGAGCTGCACGTAAGCGCTCGGGTGCTTGTGAATTCTTATTTTACATGTTACTTTCAAGATGAGTTCTACTCGGTATTGGTTCCTTGCATCTTTCTGAGGTACAAGGAAGCAATTGAGCCAGATGCCTAGACAGAGATGTCAACTCTGCTTCGAAAACTGTTGCATGCCCAGCAATGTGCTAGACCTGGATGAACATATGTTAATCACGAGATCTTGAGAAGTCATTGCTAAGTTTCGCCGAAGAAGCGCAAGTCGTTTTCCAAAAGAGCCAGGACAAATGCGGCGAGGCGTAGAAACGTGAACATTTTTGGGGTGATACCAAATTGGCTGAGTGGTACTTAAGAACCTTTAGAACACTTTAGAACACTTGACCAGTGCCACTGCCACTCATGACCTCCAGACAGTCCCCCTGCTGTGATCTAAGCCAGGGCGTGACGTTGTTGAACAAAGCCTCCGCGCACATGGGCATGGGAGAAATTGATGTGGTGCGAAGCCGAGACACACAGACACACAGACACACTGCTAAGATACGCTGAGCGGCAGATGGCCCATCAACCAGACCTGTCAACTGGACCTGACGGGGTATTTTGGAGATGGTGAAGCAGTACTTTCGACCATGCAACAAAGAGGCATACATATACCATATATTGTATGAACATACTATTATATGCATATATATATATACTGCATATATATATATATGCACATACTGTACTGGAACGTAAGTATCAAGCATCAAATATGTATAATGTGTATTTAATGATCATAATGTGTTTGCACTTTCAACCTGACCTCCTTCGTTGGTGCTGCATTCGAGGCATTGCAGGTGGCGGAGGATGCCAACGCCATGTTCATCCAGGAGCTCGTTTTTGTGCGCCGTGCTTGCTATGGGTCGGGTACCCCAACATGTATGGTTTATAATGGAACATCCTATTAAAATCCTATAAAAATGGATGATTTGGAGGTACCCCCTATTTTAGGAAACCTCCATTTTGTAAGAGTAATCATCGTAATGTAGCAAAGCCAATAATGTTTTCCATCCCGAAATTCACCGTAAATGGGTGGTATACACCATCCCGAAATGATGTTTTGGGTTTGGGTTCCAACATTAATCACAGTCATCATGGTCATCATGGTAGCCATATTTACCAACCCGAAGAATAGCAATAATAGTCCCGACATGGCCGACCTCTTCAGATTAGTATATTATTTCTATTATGATTGTTGTTTATCCAGATATTTTGACAATTTTGATGCTTTTCAAGAATGCCAACAGGCTATCACAGAGTCTACTGTGCAAGAGTTGGAAGTAGTTGGTAGTTAGCCACACCAATTCTGCATCAACGAAGACAACGTGAGCATGTATGCATATATAATATATACAAAAAAATATCCAATGTTCGACAGTGACTCACTGACACTGCCCCTCAGCAACTGCAGCAACTGTCAATCTTTCCAGAGCGGCACTTCCAGGAGGAGGACAAGAGGCAGGAGGCAACAGCGCATCACTTCCTCTACGAGATTCACACGTTGCTTGACATAACGAACTTGAGATGAGCTCCTTTAGATATTCCCGAAGCAAAACCATATTTGGTAGTCGGCAGATATCAATGTCGAGAAAGCAAAGCCTCCCTTGGTCATACGTCAACAGACGAGATCATTTTGATATACGCATGTCAAGGCAACCACCCTTTGTTGGTCCGTTCCCCATTTCACTCGCCGAACCCCAGCATTTTCACTGGAGCTTTGTTTGCTGAGGCAGGCCGGCAACTACGAGGCCCTGGTCCTTGGGCGATGCCCACTGTCGGCATGCGGGCATGTTGCAACAAATCCAAGCATTGGGGGATATGCTCCAAGCCCGAATCGGTGGAACAATCTGATCTGATATGATCTGATATGATGTGATATGTGGAAAGTGAAGTTCAATGGCTACACCCATCATGTAGGAATTGAAGCGGTCCCAGTTTTTTGTTGTCAATAGAAACCTTCTGGTAGTGCTATCCCGAACATTCCGTAGTCCCATTCTTGGCAGCTTTGATGGTGGGCCCTTGCAGGCTGCACTTCGTGAAGCAATCATGGCAAGGAGTCAATGCCGGCGGGTTCTTAGCAGTTGTTTGAGTTGTAGAAAAGAACCATGAATAGTGGTGACAATTCTTCCCCCAAACTGGTTTTAGGGGTGGACTCTGGTAGTTTTTTTGTAGAGGATAGCTATGGATAGCTTGGGGCGATCAGCGGCCCTCGCAGGACCATGTTCCACAAGCTTGGTGATCAGCGCGAGGAGGCATCTTCCAATAAATCATTAGAGCAAGAATTTGCTGGCCAGTGAGAACCATTGAACGGGCTGAGTCATGCTGAGTACGTGTACAAGTGTATCATATATATATATATTATTTGTTTCTTTGCTTGGAACTTGTGGAGAGCAAGTAATGTGTTGACGATATAGTTGCCAAAATGGCTATGCCATTTTGGCTCAAGCTGTTCCCCCTGTGATCCAATACTTTCGAAAAGACGTTCTGATCTTCTTGTCTTGCTCATGGCGGCTTCTAGTCCAGTAGCAAGTGAGACTGGCACCGTGGGCTCCTTCTCGTTGATTGGAACAGAAATGGATGCAGGGGACGATTACATGTTGCTTTCCACACCGGTGACTGAGGCTGCGCCGGCCGAGGTTACGACAGAGTTTGAAGATGATCCCGCCATCACCAAGGAGACACTGGCTTCGCAGCTCCATGAGATGGAGAAAGTGATGGAAAACTTGGGCTTGGAACCCAAGCCGGAGACAGGTGTGGCAGCGTCAAGTGTGAAACCTCCGTCGGGGTTCGTCCAGGCTGAGGCACCGACTCCAGCTCAGACACCACAGACCTTAGAGAAGGAGACGTTGACGCTCCACGTGGATCAGACCACAGAGACCTTCACCATCGAAGGCTGGGCACCCTTGGTTCCGGCCCTACCTCACTCTGCTGCCAAGTACTTCAGAGACATTACGCATGGTGAGCTGCGTTCCCTGTTGGACGCTTTCCGCAGTTCTCCATGGACGGCACCCTTGGTGGTCAAGATCGCAGAGGTGGATCACATCTCGAAGCGCGAGGCTGTCCACACACAGATGTTGAAACTCCGGCACACTACGCAGCGTGGGGGCTCCATGGTGAATTTGAAAGAGACGGACCCCGGAACTTCTCCGCAATTAGTCTGTTCTGATTGCAGTGCACCGTGGGGGAAGTTATCCAAATGTTTGCTTTGCCAAGGCTCTCAGCCTGTTGACCTGTCAGTGACACCTTTGTCGGTGATTGAGGTGGCCGGCCAGTCCTGGCAACTGAGGCTTACTGAGGCTGGACCAACTTGGGTCCCAACAGACTCTAAGGTCACTAAGGCCGCGGGCTTTGTCGATGTGGGCGATCTGGGCCGACCTCCCCCTGCGGCAGCTTCGGGCGCCGGTATGGGGTTGGTCAGCTTTTCGGAGCAAGTGCCTGCCTCCCAGCGCCTGACACTGCAGCAACACGTGGTGGCCTTCGGGCAGGACGAGATCTTTCATCCAGATGGCGTGCGCCCCCCCACTATGGGTGATCGAGACCCTACTCAAACTGCGGTGATCTTTCATCCGAAGACTATTGAACTGATGCGCTTCAAGGCTGACTTGCTGGCAACACCAGAAGAAGAACTCACAGAAGCGGCACAGGAGGCCAAAAAGAGGAAGAAGGAGATTCAGCATCAGCAAGAGACTGTGGCGATGGAGGATGAGCTACACACCTTGACTGCCATCCAGCAGGGTGCGCAGGAAACCCAGAATCCGGTCAGTGCCAAAATTCTTCGCCACGCTGACCTCCAGCAGTTTCGGTCCTACCTCAAGCGAAAACACGAAGAAAGTGGTCTCACTTCCTCTTATGAAGCTTTGGTGGCAGCACAGACAACACAGGACAAAGCGGCGGCTGCCAACAAGGCCCTTGACACGGAGTTCAGAGACCGCCGCAAGGCTCTCAAGCCCATCGACGTGGCGCCCTTCTCACTTTGGACCCCAACTCTGCAAGAGGCGTGGCAGAGCAATGTCTTCGCGCCGGCCATGGGACCACAAGGACCTGAACAGTTTGACATGGAGGCCCTCAAACAACCCTACCTTCGCATGAAGGAGCTCATCAAGGACAATAGGCCTCCGCTCTCCCAGGACCGCCTCATGACGGAGTTCCCAAAAACCCAACTCGACATGTACACCATGGGGAAGGAGACGGTATCTTCCCAAGAGGCCCAGTTAGCACGACTCCTTCCGCCTGACAGCCTTGAACGCAAGTACGCAATCCTTGACTCCATCTTGCAGTACCACAAAGGTGAAGTCAGAGCCTGGGGCGGAGAGTGGGAACTGCGACAGGGCCCGCTCACGGCACCTGCCTGGGCGAAACCTGCACCTACGACTGAGGTCTTGGCTTTGGAGCTCAGGACAAACCCGCTGGGCACCTCCTTCTACACGCCCAGAACCTACACGGAACAGGTGGTCCTGCAGCAGATTGCCGATGGCAAGCGACCCGACCTGGACAAGATCATTGGCTTCTTTTGGGCCCCGGGGACGGCGGTAGCTTCTGGCACCGACGATACCCACCTGGTTCGAAGGGTGCAGTCATGGGATCTCCCCTCCATGATCACGATGTTTGGACAGTCCTGGACGTTCAAAGAGATCTACCAGGCTTGGTGTGGCATGCCTCTGATCATCAAATCCATGCGCCGAGGGCAGGGAGAAGGCATCCGCCAGAAGAAGGTGGCAGAGTTGGCGGCACACCGGCAGAGGACTTCCGAGATCAAGTCCTTCCTCACTAGTGTGGGCCTCCGGTTTCCCCAATCACAACACGAGATCAGGCTGCTTTACAAAGAAATTGGCAGCTTTTTGGCTGCTTCGGTCTTCTTAGCCAGAACCCCAGCGGTGGTCTTGGACTTGCCCGAGCAAGACATCCA